GGTCAGTTTCAGCAGCGGCTGAATCTGGACGCCAGTTCCGACTTACATACAGATTCAACTTAAGAACAAACCTACAGTCCCTATCTTGTACATAACCCGGGGACTGCCTGTATTCAGGAATACAAAGGCCCCTGATTAGAAGTTGGAGGGGGAAGGGGCAAGAAGGGGGAAATCACAGAATACTAGAACTGGAAGGGACCTCGCAAGGTCAAGTCCAGAAGAATCTGGACGCCAGTTCCGACTTACATACAGATTCAACTTAAGAACAAACCTACAGTCCCTATCTTGTACATAACCCGGGGACTGCCTGTATTCAGGAATACAAAGGCCCCTGATTAGAAGTTGGAGGGGGAAGGGGCAAGAAGGGGGAAATCACAGAATACTAGAACTGGAAGGGACCTCGCAAGGTCAAGTCCAGAACCAAGCACCATCTAGATCAAGCCTGGGCAAAATGTGGCCCGTGGGCTAGATCTGGCCTGCCATACCAGGAGGCAGTGGGGAGCCCCAGGCAGGCTCCCCTGCTTGTCCAGCAGAAACACAGCTGATGGGCGCTTTCTCCTTGAGTCTGGAAGGGAGGGGGGAGATTCAGATGCTGCACCCACCCCCAGCACAATCCCACTGGCCAGTGGAACTTCCTGTTCATTCACTCAAGCACATGGCCAAGCAGGCAGAAACATTTTAAGCTCTGCAAGTCTTTAGCTCTGCAGGCAGGCAAGTCTCCTGGCGAGAACCTGCCTCTGGCACCTCAGCCCCTCCCCTCCACAACCCTCTGCCCCACACTTCTACCCTGCTACTCCACATGCACCCGTACCCCTCCCAGATCTGGCATCCCAAACTCCTGCCCAAAATCACAATCCCCTCCTATCCTAGGTCACATCCCAAAACTCTGCACCCCAGTTCCCTGCCCTAGGTCACAACTACCTCCTTCACCCAAAGTCCCTCCCAGACCCGATTCTCCCTCCTGCACCCTAATCCTTTACCCCAAGCTCCTTTCTGCACTCAACCTCCATCCCAGACCTCCTCCATTAATACCATGAAAGAATGTGGCCCTCAACCACTTCCCAAAATCTTGGGAGTGGGCCCCCCCAGTCAAAAATTATTGCCCATCCCTCATCTAGATCATGCTTGAGAGATGTTTGTCTAACCTGCTCTGAAGTATCTCCGATAATAGAGACTCCACAACTTCCTTAGGCAATTTATTCCAGAGTTTAACCACACTGCCAGTTAGGAAGTTCTTCCACATGTCCAATCTAGAAAGGAGAATGGTTAACCAGTAAGCATCATCCTTACCGGGTCATGTTTACAGGTTACAGTTAACTGGCAGCCCTGCCAGGCCAGAGCAGCCCACCACACTGCAAGTGGGAGAGCACTCCAGCCAGCCTGGAGCAACCTTCCCATCCCTGTTTAAGCGGTTAACTGGTTAAACAGAACTTTACATTTCTAGTCCAACCTAAACCTCCCATGCTGCAATTATTTAAGTCCATTTCTTCTTGTCCTATCATCATAGTTTAAGAGTTTTTCTACTTCGACCCTTTTAGGTACCTGAAAGCTGTTATGTCAACCTTCTGCACACTTCAACCACCTCTATAAAGGTTACTTATGCTTGAGGGCCGGATATTCCCAATGCATTTGTCAAAAGTTCTGACATGGAAAGATGTGTTCATAAAATACCTCCAAAATATAACTGGAAGAGAGCCCCTTCCACATGTTCATCTCCACCTACAATCTAAAGCAGTGGTCCCCAATGCGGTGCCCGCGGGCGCCATGGCACCCACCGGGGCATTTATGTGCGCCCGCTGAAACATCTGGGCTGGCCCCGCCCACAGTGTGCAGCACATGTGTGGTGCCGGCCCTGCGTGATGCCGCCCCGGGTGCAGGGCGTGTGGGCGGCCCCTGCCCCAGGCATGCGGCACATGCGCGGTGCCGGTCCCAGGCGCGTGGGCAGCCCCGCCCCTGGACATGCGGCACATGCGTGGCCCCACCCCCGAAAGTGCGGCACGTGAGCGGCCCCACCCCTGAACGCCCGGAAGCAACGAAAGGTTGGGGACCACTGATCTAAAGAATGCATGCACCACACAGGAATGGGCACCACTGGCATGATTTCAGATGGCCTCACAGCAACTGGCTAGGGCTCAAAAGATGCCCATTTACAAGAAGTTGCTGATGTGCCAGCGGCAGAGGTATCTGACTGCTCTTTGCTTTAATTTATCTCCTCTGCTGGTTCCCAGTCTGCTCCTTTGAGGATTTCTCTACACCAGGATTTTTAATAGCATTTTAAACCATCTGTTAAATATAGTTGCAAATTCTAGTGTAGCCTTAGGGTTAAACACAACTATGAACAAATGTATTGGGGTTAGCTCTGGACATAACAATAGGAGAGATTTTGTTCTGCTGGTTGTTTATTGTTTCTGTAATTTATAACAAACCACCTAGGATTTTTGTACAAAAAAGGGAATAATTACAGATATAATCTAGAATCCACTCCAATGCACACAGTTCAACATCAACTGATGTGTCTTAATTTTTAACATTTCCCTTAAGGACAAAAGTTCAAACATTGGCCACCATGCACAATACAATTATAACAAAGTCAAGGCTTCTCATCCTAGCTGATGAGAGGGGGTGGAGATGACTTTTCACTCCTCCCCATCCTTTTGTCTTCCAGAATACAATGACATGGGATTAGGATACAGGTACTCCTTATCATTCCTTCCCTTCCTGCAACCATTCAAAAAACATCCCACAAAACCCTCGTAGTTTGTCTTGGACTCTTTTGGAAAAAGAGCAACCCTACTGCATTTCCAACAGCTGCAGAATCTTCCCCGTTGAGAATCATGCAAGGTCCATGCCCCCGAGGTCTGTTCAGCTCTGACCCAACTTGTCAGAGCAGGGGAATCATGCTGTTGAGTGGTCTGCTTGCTCTGTCTGGCGCTGAAGTGCAGCTGACAAAAAGATTGTTCCCACTATTGCCACTGGACCCCTTCAACTTCCGAACCCATCCCTTCTCTCTTCACACTACCAGCCAAGAAAGTAGGCAAAGGAGAAGTTAAATCAACTACTACTGCAGCTTTCCACCTGACCACATGGATGGAAAAAAAGGACAAAGAAGATCTAATATGCAGAAAGATTAAAATTCTTTGGACCTGACTCCAAAGCCAAAAGGAGAGGTAGAACACCTCCCCCACAAATTGCACTCTCTGGAAACAAGCACAGAATTGCTTAATCTAGAACTGCTAAAGGGTTCCAACCCCAACACATTTTTGAAGAGTATCCAGTCCTAAATTGTAAAATGTTTGGAAACACGTAATGTTAGGTTAAATGTACTACCAAATCAAATTCATTTAAATTTTTAAATATGTATTTGTTCTTTTCATGACACGACAGATATTTCGCTCTGTGGCAGAGTTAAGTATCACAGCAGCCAGAAAGAATTGCCTATGGCTACGTCTACATTGGCACCATCTTGCGTAAATACTCTTTAATGCAAGAGTTCTTGCGTTAAAAGTATTTGCGCAAGAAAGCATCTACACCTGCATGTGCCTTTGCACAAGAGATGTGCTTTTGCGCAAGAGCATCCATGTCAGTGTAGACGCTCTCTTGAGCAAGAAAGCTCTGATGGCCATTTTAACCATAGGGCTTTCTTGTGCAAGAAATTCATGTTGTCTGTCTACACTGGCCTCTTGCACAAGAACAGTTGCACAAGAGGGCTTATTCCTGAGCAGGAGCATCATAGTTCTTGCGCAAGAAGCACTGATTTCACACATTAGAACGTCAGTGTTCTTGCACAAGAGCTCGTGGCCAGTGTAGACAGGCAGCAAGTTTTGCGCAAAAGCAGTTGCTTTTGCGCAAGATCACACCAATGTAGACAGAGCTTAGAGTGATGCTAGGTTGACTGCACAACAGAGAACTCAGGGAGCCAGCAGTAACTTCATAGTTCTGGTTTTTTGCACAAATATCATTAATGATTAGGGGTACACTTGAAGTAGGATGCACAAACTGAACATATTGCTTACACAGGGCAGATCTTGGAACAGAGGTGAATGGGAAGGAAGAGGACAGGAATGCTAGCAGACTAAAGAAGGAAAAGGGCTCCCCCAGAATGTCTGAGGCATTTTTGGCTACAAGGTGGTGTACACTTCACCGCACATTGCATTCATTCAGGGCCTGAGCGTGTTTGCAAGTAAAATGCAGAGTGCATGCAAAGCATATTGGTTGCAAGAAAAGGTTATGGGGTGCATTTCATATAATGCCCAGAGGAAAAAATGTAAAAGGGGGAGGGTGCAAATACTGCACAGAACACCTAGCGAGGGTGTATTGCAGCTTAAGAACGCATTGCAGGCAGCCCCCAGCAAGAGTGTATTGTAAAGGAAAGGGGGAGAGAGGAGCACGGTAGGCACACTGCATGCACTATTCAGAGGCGGGCTGGGGTGTGGACCGTTCATGCCCTGCTCGCAGGGGTGCCATGCCTAGGGGAGGAGGGACGCGCGGGCAGGGGAGCGCACCCCTCGAGGCAGGGTGGGGCCAACGCCGCAGTCACTCCCCGGAGCGGGGGGGTAGGGGTATATCTGGCGGCAAGGGAGGCGCAGCAGCTGCTCCACGCCAGGGGTCCCGTGCACGCGGAGGCGCGCGCGCTGCTGCTGGCGGGGCCCGGGGAGCAGCTG